ACCTCCTTGAGCATTATAGACACTTAATCAATTTTATTTTCCTTCTTTCATCAAAGAGCTAGGTTGAGAAGATACACACATAGAAACAGGATAGAACACACTCATGCTGAGTGTCTGACGACTGGTGCAGAGGTTATTCACAGTGGGGAGAGGGCCTGGCTGGCGAGGTGTTCAGGCACCGTGGTCTCTTTGGAGCACCATCTCAGCTGTGTTCTGTCTCGGGGTTGGGGGCCTATCTAGGTTCAAGGATCAGACATAATAAGGCAACCTGATAATATAGCTAAAACTCAAAAACCACTCAAACCCTTTGACCGAATAATGTCACCTCAAAAAAACATTACAATACAATAACTGAGAAGAAAAAAAAAATCTAATCTTTGTAAAGATATTCATCATAGCACTATTCAAAAGTAGAAAACTAGCGAAGTAAGCAGAGAGTAATAGGGGAGTGACTCAACAAATTATGGTACATTGCTCCAATACCACACAGGTAAAAAATCAAAGTGAACCCTGACATTGTCCTGTTCAGCTATAGGAAAAGAGTATTACAGATAAAAGAAGTATAAAAAAGCAGAACTCACGATGTGCAAATGCTGATCACAATTTTTAGTACCTATGCATAGCCCGGAGGAGACGACACAAGACGTGCACGGTGACCCCTTTGTTTCTTCGGCCGTAGCGTGCAGCATGCGGGATCTTAGTTCCTGGACCAGGGATTGAAACTGCATCCACTGCATTGGAAGTGAGGATTCTTAACCAGTGGACCACTAGGGAAGTCCCGTGAGCTCTTTGAAATTATGAAATTTAATTCTGTGTAAAGAAGTTTAGGTAGACAGTATTATACAATAAAATGTCAATACAATTTTAAAGTTAAAAACATTAGGTAAAAATTAATAACGCAGACAAGCCACATGCAGGTAATGAGGGATCGACAGCGTTTGTGCATGTTTTTGGCTGTCAGCAGGTCTGCGTGTGTTTATTCTAAATCGTGCTATTGCATCGCTACCAACTAAACAAATGCTTTTGCCCAAGTTTCTCTTCCTTTGCAGCCCCCAGGAGAATGGAGTTGGCTCTGTGCGGGTCTTCTTCTCTAGCAGGACTCATGCTCAACTGACCTGCATAGAAGCAAAGGTGGGCCGGTGTGAATAAGAATGAACAGCACAGGGAAGGACAGCCCAGGAGGAGCCCGATCCGATGCCACCTTCAGGGTCTGGCCTTTTCTTGGTTCTCCAGACTTGTGCCTGGTCCCTGGGCTCTAAGGTGTCTGCCAAGTAAGGCCAGGACATGGTGCTGAGATCACCCTTGCTCCATTCAGGGAAAAGCCTGTCTCCCTCTTGTGGAGTTCATAGCTGCTCCTGGGCTTTTGCACATAAATTACACATGTCCTTAACCAACTGCCCTTTTGCAGGGGGGATCAGAGCTCAGCAAACAAAAACATCATTCTTATTATTCCCCTTCATAATTGGAGAAGTGGCTATTTCCAGGCTGGTGAAAATCTGTCTACAATACAAATTAGAAGGCAAGAGGGGTTTTGCTCAGTTTGTTGATGGAAGATAGACTCAGGACGACTGAAATACTGACAAATCCCAAGCTTGATGTGAAGAATACTGGGTGTTTCCATTGTAGATGCACTGTGCGTAGAACGCTTTTGGTGTGAACACTTGTATGGGAATGGGGTCCCTGTTCCCTTTGTCTTGGTCTGGGCTTCTGCTCCTCGTGCTGCCTGTCTGGGTTGGTTCGGCTCCTGGTCCAAGGGTCCCACAGCGAATGACAGGCAGGACCAGGGAAAGGACATGCCTGCCTGGACCGTTCTCCCAGGGGGAAGGTTTTCTAGACTTCTGAGCTCACGTACCCCCGACACAATTCTGTAAAACTATGTACCAGCTTTTGGGGCTTCCCTGGTGGCGCAGTGGTTGGGGGTCTGGCTGCCGATGCAGGGGACGCGGGTTCGTGCCCCGGTCCGGAAAGATCCCACGTGCCGCGGGGCGGCTGCGCCCGTGAGTCATGGCCACTGAGCCTGCGCGTCTGGAGCCTGTGCTCCGCAATGGGGTGTAAACTTTTTCATTTTTAGGTTTAAATAGTTGTAGTATATCAATCATCCTATCATATTTCTTTAAGGAAGATACATATATACACATAAATATATGTATACAGTCTGTATATATAGAAATTGAAACTAGTTTTTTCCTGTGAGTGTATGATTCTAAGTGCTAAACATTTCCTTCTGGATTTACGTGTATTAGAACTATCGTGGGACATATTTGATTAACACGACATGAGTTGTTTGGAAGTGTCTCTGTGGGGTCCGGGGGTAAGTGAGGAGTGGGGTGCAGGGTGCACCGCGAGGCGTCTGCTCAGAGCTCCCGGTGTCAGGCCTGCCCCACTTCTTCCTCTGCCTCATCCTGGCTCCTGTCCCTGCCCTCCACAGGTGCGGGTCCCTAGGAAACATCTTGTGCCTCAAACTCTGCTCAGTGTCTGCTACTGGGAAACATAGCCTCTGACACTAAACGGGCCAAGGGAAGACCGCTGTGGAGGCCGGAGGGCAACGCAGAGCTTGGGCTTGAAGAGCAGGTCCTGCCCCAAACCATCGCCGCCCCTCCCCCTATGCTCCCCGGCCTCAGGAATCTGGAGGCCTGACTTCGAGAAGCGCTTCCTGCTTTGAAGATGCCAGAGAATCAGTAACATACTCGACACATTTAATGAAGATCAGGTCCCCCTTTTTACGTTGTTCATGTGGGTGCGAAGGGGCTCTTCTGTCTTCAGTGGCTGTGGATAAAATGTTTTAAGCTGTCCCCAGAAGAGGGACCGGAAGCTTGCCTCTGGGCTGCTAATGCCATCTTGGTCTGAAATACACAACAGCAATAATAAAATCGTATTTTCATAAGGAACACTCACAAAGTGCTTGCTGCGTGTCAGAGCTCTTCTAAAGGTGTTATGTATGTTTACTCACTTAACCCTCAACACAATACCCAGTTAGGTATTGTTATTAACCCCATTTGACAGAACAAGGAAGGGGACGACAGAGGCCCCTTCCTACTGAGTGTTTACCATGCTCAGGTCGAGGCGCCAAGAAAGTAACGTGCAGCACCTCGGTCCTCACGTGCCTCAAGCAGAGCCAGCAGTGGGCAGCTCGCCTTGCGGAGCAGGGGGCCGTGGTCCTCAGGCCCTGCGGGAGCGTTAATCGGGTCCTTCCCTCACCCGCCCAGGTGGGAGCAGAGGAGTCTCTCACAGCAGGGCCCTTTGCGCCTCTCCCAGTGGCAGGTCATCGCCCTCAGGGTAAAGCTGAACGCAGGGGAGAACGCTTGGCCGCCGTGCAGGAGGATGGCTTTGTATCAGTCCTTCAGCTTCCTGATGCCAGAGCAGAGCCGGGGCAGCTGGGGGCAGGCGGGGAGGCTGGACTGTCAACAACACAGAAGGAAGGAATGCAGGGCAGGCTGGGGCAGGGCTGTGACCTGAGGCCCGTGAGTTCTGGGGGCCGTTCCTCCTCTGTGGAGGGACAGATGGACCAGGGCTGGGAGCAGCTCCAACACGGAAATGCTGCGGCGTTTCCCCCAGAGACGCTGCCCACGCTGGCGAAATGACTTGACAAAAGTGGCCGAGGCCCAGGGCTTCACCCCGAGAGGCAGGCGGGTGGCCCAAGAGCCTCAGGCTCAGACAGGAGGCAGGTAGGCCGAGAAGGGGAGGCTTCCTGCCAACAAAATCCTGTGAGGATGCAGCGCAGGAAGTGGGGAAAAGGCCACCTTCTAGGGGTATGCATTATTTTATGGGTTCAAATTTATTTAACTTGTTATACAGCGTTCAATGAGGTCAGTGAGGCTCTGCTAATGGACGCGAATGTTTTGAACGGGAGGGTGGACACAGGCACCCGCCGGCGTCCCGCTTGTCAGCTGGTGGCACAGTACTGAGAAAAGTCCAGATTCATGCAGATCCACTATTACAAGTTCCAAAAGTCTGAAAATGTCTTGCTCTGCAATTTCAGGATATTTTAAAATTAGAGACGGCAGGAGATGTATCTTGGAATCTACATTAAAACACACTCACCTAGTAGTTGAAGCTAAAACTTTGGTGATTTCCAATGATTTGTGTGTTGACTGTTACACCTTTGAATGCATTTTCTTAATTTTCATTTTAGAAACAGGTCAGAAATCATACTTGGAAAGTGAAGGTGAATCCCTGTAGAACTTTTGACGCCGGCCCAGGGCGCTCACGAGGTTTCTGAGGCACGTGCGCTGGGACCCAGGCCAGTCGGGGGCCCTTCGGCGGGGCCTCTGGGTGAGAGCCGGCCGCCCGTTACTGACTGTGTGCAGGTTCCAGCAGCTGTGAACCCATCGGTAGCACTGCTGTAGCGTGGTGGGGAAGAGCCTGGGCTCTGTTGTCAGACAGACCCGGGTCCGGACACCACCTGCTGCTTAGCAGTGCCCACGACCGCTGTTTCTCGTGTGTGGACCGCAAACGGCGCCACCCCACTGTGTGGTCCCGAGAGCAGCGCGACTGTGCCCTTAGGGCTCTCGGCCCAGCCTTCCGCCTCCAGAGAGCACTTACGGAGAAGGGCGGAAGCCTTCTGGGCGCTCCAAGGGCTGCATGGGCTCAGGGACGAGGGGCTCGTGGGGGCTCCCGCGTCTGGCTCCCGTGCCACTGGAGCTCCCGGTTCACAGGCACGCCTTGTACTGGACTTGGGCGTCGAGTAGCTGTTCAAACTCAGGAACAGATGAAACCCATGACCCCCGGGCTCTCCCAACCCTGTGAACCCCAGACCGTATTCTCCCATGACCTTGACTCCAGGGGGCCACGGACCAGCAGCCTGGGCATCTCTGCTGGAGCTCGTTAGAAACGCAGGCACTCTGGCCCCCTGGAATCAGAAGCTGCCTTTTAACAAGATCCCTGGCAATTCTCCTGCACGTTTCCTGCTCTGACCCCTCAGGGGTCACTGTCCTCCGGGCACATGAGCCCCAGCCCTGGAGCCTCAAACTCCCCACCCCACCTCATGGGGACCTTTGTACCTGGGCCCCTCGCTGTCACTGGCCCGGGTCCAGTCCAGGCCCAGTACCATGAAAGCCTGGACCAGCTGCTCCCGCTTCTGGTTCCCTTCTGTGGATGAAGGCTGCCGTCCAGGCTGCTAAATGTCTTGGCTGCTCGGGTGGTTGATTTAGGACCCACGAGAGGTGGCCCTGGGCTCGGGTCTGGGTGGACATGCCTCTCACTCCAGGCTGATCTTTCAGACCCACAGTGGCCCCCCCCCGCCTCGGCCATGGTGGTCACTTCTGTCTTGCTCACAGCTCACCTCTGGGCCTGGGTCCGCTCCGAACCACGTGTCTGACGTGAGTACAGACACGTGCACACACTTGGGGTCAGCTGTGTCAATCCCTGAAGCTGGTGGGAAGCAGTTTGGATCTGCAGAGCTGCGTGGAGGCCCAGGGGGCAGTGGGGGAAAGGCATCACTGGTGGTTTTTTAATCGCCTGAGGTGGGGAGTGACTACCCTTCTGTCCTGGCCCAGGGACTCGAGCTGCTAAAAGGGACACGAGTCACTCATCTGTGGAGAAAAGCATTTCTGAGAAGGTGGTACCAGCCAGAAAAGCAGACCAGCTGGCAGTCTGTGGAGCACCCCTGTTAGCCCATGCCCACCAGTGAGCACTTGATAGGGGCCTTCACCCCGAGGCAGCTTGTCCCTCCCTCAGTGACCTGGAGCCCTGAACTGTAGGGCCTCACGGGTGAGAGACCTTGGAGACCCTCACATCCTATGGCAGAGGCAGTGCCCCCCTGAAGTGTTTGGGGCATGACAGGGGGTGGCCGTTCCTCTAGGCCCTGTGTGGACATCTGCTTGGGGCCCCCTGGGTCCCCGGCCCGGAGCACAGCTCTGAGATACTGGAGTCCAGGCGTGCCTTGATCTGGCCGCGAGGGCTGAGAGCCTCGACGCAACGCTGGCTGCCAGAAGGGGCCGGACACCGTTCTGTGGCCTGGCCTGCCAGTGGCTGAAGAGCAGCAGCTGGGGGCGGGGAGGGGCCAGGAGCCAGGACACTCTCCAGCCCACCTGCCTCTGTGGTTTCCTCTCCCTGAAGTGATTCTGCTCTGATTCCTTGCGGACCACACCCTGCACGCTCTTCTCCCTCACCTCGCTCTTTCCAGCCACCTAAGTAGTCTGCAGCGCTCTCCCTCCCCCTTGCCCCTTTCCAACCATCCACGTTTCACACCCTCGAAGGCTTGGGTGGAGTCCCAGCTCTCCTGGAAGCTGTCCCAAGGGGTCCAGCCCTGGAGCTCCATCTCCCTCGCTTCCGAGTGCATCCCCACTCATCCCGGAGGTTGGCAGTCACGGCTCTTCGCGGTTTCTGTGTGCTGGTGTGGTCCCGACGTGACCGTTTAGTCTGTACGCATAAGGCCAGTCACATTCATGAAGCGCGTCTGGGTCACCTGACGCCCAGTACGTGGGAAGCAGTGTGCTGAGTGGTGTGTGTGTATGTGTGTGTGTGTTACACACTCTGCCTTTAAGGAACTCACAGTCTAGGAAGGAGGCTAGAATACGGTAGGCCGACTAAAGTAGGAATCAGACGGCGGGCAGACAACGAGGGTTAAAGGAGGGAGAGGTCGAGAAAGGGGTGCGGAAGAGCCTGGTGGAGCAAGTGGCCTCCGGGGTAGGTCCTAGGGGGTGACGAGAGTTTCGTAACCAGACCAGGTTTGTTTGCAGCAGAGAAGGTTCACTAGACGGCCACTTCTCAGGTCTGCCTCCCTGCAGGCCAGGGGCGTGAGCTATTTATGGGGTGAAGGAGCGGGGAGGTCTTAGGCGTGGGGCAAGGGGATTGGACGTCGGGCAAAGGTGAGGTGATCTGTGTTCCACGCAGGCCATTTTAGGCTTGGTGGCCCCAGCTAGGCTCTGCCCGTCTGAAGTGCCCAGAGCCGACTCCAATTTCTGGAAACAACTTAAGCCCCCGTTACTATAGTGACCCCTACGTCAGAAGCCTTCTCTACAGGGGTGGTTAAGCACCCTGGTGATATATTACCTCGGCTTTGCGACGCTTGGAGGGTATGCAGTTAGAGAAAGGGGAATAAACAACAGGGACAGCAGCCTTAACCACTAAAGGCAGGTCCTAGGCAGAGCGGCTTCTAACAAGCCCCTTACCTGCTGCTCTGTGAGACACACCCAAGGGCTTGTGCGGGCCCTGCAGCCGGCTGAGTGTCCTCTGGTGTTGGAGGCCCTCAGGGCAGGCAGTGCCGGCTCCTCTGTCTTCCAGGAGGCCACAGCGCAGGGAGGGGATGCGGTCCCTTTGCTCCCCGTGGGGACTCAGCGGTCATGGAGCACCTAAGCTCTCCCCCTGAAGGCGTGTGGGGGCCATTTGGCCCAGACCACAGAGGCTCGAGGGACAGACTCAGTGATGGGAATGCCTGCGGGTTTTCTCACCTGAGTGACTTTATTCTCCCTCACTCCGAGGTTCACAGGCAGAAGTCGGCACAGGCTGAGGTGCAGGCTCTGAAAGGAGTCTGGGTGCTGCCGGGAGCACGTCCTAACACCGAGCACTGTCGCGGCCGGTGGTCCCGGGGCGCCCACCCCTCCTGCTGGCAGAGGTCCCTGGCCGCGCCCCGCGTGCAGAAGGCGTCACGGCATCCTGTGTGACTCAGGGTCCCCCCAGGCGGGGCCGGCTGCCGTCTGCCGTCTGGAGGAGCAGCCACAGCTCCCACTCCAGCTCTTCTGCCCTCCGGGCCAGCCGGGCTCTCCTCACCTCCAGCGCCAGGGCCTGGTCACTCTGCAGGGCCCAGGATCCCAGGTTCTCTCCGCCAGGGCCGCCGGCCTCTGCTGGGCCGGGTGTGTCTTTCCGCCGCGCGGGAGGGCAGATCCTGGGAACCACCTGAAAAGACACCAGTGGAAGAGGCGATGGGGCCTGTGAGCGCTGAGCCCACCCTGAGGACCCGCGTGACTCTGGGCACCCTGCCAGCCTCCAGGCAACACCCAGCCGAGTGCTTGGGGAGACGCCAGCAGCTCACGTCCAGGGACTGGCCTCACGTTCACGAAGGACACAGGGTCCCCTGAGCTTATGTTGCCAAATCCGTGCACAGCAGCGCCTGATTATGTCCCCACACCATCATCGCCTTTAATAATGCAGAACAACTGTGGAGTAATTAAGTCTTTTTATAGCCCCTCCGCTCATCCTGCTTGTTCCGTCCTAATACCAGGGATATTTATATAATGTCTCTTTAAGCATGAAAATTTCCCGTTACTTTATTCTCACTAAATGGCTCTCCTCTGAGCCCCTCAGTGCAGCCGACGCTGGGTGCCTGCACCTCGCCCTCCACACTGGAGCTGGTGCCGCGGCCGCCCTGACCTCCCAGCCCCTCAGCTTAGCGTGGCCTCTTGGACGGGGTCTGGAGGAGACCAGGGGAGGCAGACACGCGGGGCCAGCGTCTCCGTTTGGGTTTCACAGGGAGGACTCACCGGGGAGGGGGGGTTCAGGGACCCTCTGGGGCCAGCGGAAGACACAGCTCCTGCTGGGAAGGGGTCTGTGCATGTTGTGTGTGTCACACGCCCACAGTGCCTTGTGCGCACGGAGAAATCTTCCCTCACTTGTTCGTGAGCACATAGGTGCGCTTCCTGTGCTTCTGTCTTGAGAGGGCAGTTTGACCCGGAAGGACTGACTTTCCCTCACTTGCTCGTGAGCACATAGGTGCGCTTCCTGTGCTTCTGTCTTGAGAGGGCAGTTTGACCCGGAAGGACTGACTTTCCAGACCCCCTAACATCCAGGCTCAGGCACGCGCTCTGTCCTCGCGGAACTCTCTACTCAGGGAGCATCTCGGCCCCGGGTCTCCTGCTCTCGGGATCACCGGCAGGTGGACCCTCCCTGGTGGTGAAGAGGGCGGCCTTGGTGAACAGGATATCCCGGCGCTGATGCCGGATCCAGAAGCCCAGTGACAGGTGTGCCTAACCTTGCCCCCCACCACCAGGGCTTTGCCCATCTTCAGCAACTCAGCAAGACGGGAACTAGGGGGACACGAGGGAGGCCCTGGGCTTGGGTGCAAAAGTCAAAGGGGCACCAAAAACTCAACTCAGGAGAAATAGTATTTTAACGCAGTTTTAAAAGTCAAATTGGCAAACTGAGGCCCACAGACTGGCGCCTGCTTTAGGAAAGAACGTTTCATGAGCTCAGGGCAGACACAACTGAGTTATCGCTGTATCTCACGCCTGTGACCCCTCCAACCTTCCCCATGTCTACACCTCCAGAGACCTGAGTCGGGATCAGAGTTCATCTCACGGAAAACTTGTTTCAGAACCATGGCTATCAGTCAGGCTGCAGCTAGAATAGCTTTTGCATTGCCCCCCTTTCATGCCCTTCCCCAGTCTTTCCAGGCCGTCAATTTACTTAGAGACCTGCAAACCCAAGGTGGCCGACACGCTTTCCTGACCCCTGATGCAGCCCTGCCTTCCACGGTCAGCCTTCCGTTTGCCAAAGGCAACAGGCAAAACGGGGGGACCTTCTGGTCAGAGCTGGTTGTTTGGTTTTGTTCTGAACCCCTATCTGCAGCGGGTGCTGTGACCCTGTGGGCCCCACCTCGTGAGACCCCGCTGTCCATGGGCACCTCAGGAGCTGAGATGGCGGTCTCACAGGCTTACCACAAACGTACTGCCTTTGCTTCGTGGCAGTTGGCCTGGCCTGTCCTCTTCTTTCCGGAGCGCTAAGGCTTGAGCAGTGAGCTGGAAGAACTCCTCGTTCAGCTCATCCAAATTGTCTTCCACCTGCCGTATCTTCCTCTAGAAACAAGGGACACATGGTCTTCATTACTTTCCTTTTTATTCTAATTTTATTAAAAATCCATTGAGCTCCTGCCCCATGACAGGCAGGGGCGTCAGTGCTGGACGTACAGAGTTGAAGTCAGGTCTGCTCTCGAGGAGCTCAGCGCCTAAAGAAAAGCAAACCCAGGCCTACAATCCGGTAGAGTGAAGGCTGCAGGGGAGGGATGTGCGGGGCTACAGGAGCAAAAGGCAGGACACCTAGCCCAGGCAGGTGCAATCAGGGAGAACTCTCTGGAAGAGGGGAGACATCTCAGCTGAATGTTAGCAACAAATAAGAATTAACTGGGTGGACAATGGGAGAATGGCATGCTAGGCAAGGGAACAGCACGTGTGGGAAACACAGAGACACGAGAGCACGCAGGGAAGTTCGTCCATCTCTCAGTTCATCCATCCATCCAAGCATCCATCCATCCATCCATGCGTCCATCCGTGCATCCATCCATGTGTCCATCCATCCATGTGTCCATCCATCCATGTGTCCATCCATCCATCCATCCATCCATCCATCCATCCATCCGAACATCCATCCCTCCATGCATCCATCCATCCAAGCATCCATCCATTTGTCCATCCATCCATCCATCCATCCACCCATCCATCCATCCATCCATCCATCCATCCATCTGTCCATCCACCCCTCCATGCGTCCACCCATCCATGTGTCCATCCACTCAGAGGTAAAGAAAGATTTACTGAGCACCCTTTATGTGTCAAGCCAATGGTTGATTCCATTAGTGAACTTCCATGGGGTTTGTAGTCTATAAGGAAAGGCAGACATAGAACAAGGAATTATCAGTGACAAATGTTACCCGAGGGGATGTTCATATTGCTGAGGGAAGTAGTCACGGTTCAGTTTGGTGGTAGCATGGAATTTGTTTGGACAAGTGGGAGGAGATGATGCTGGAGATATAGGGGTGGCGAGCTGGGGACAGCAGGCTGTGACGGGCCTTGCGTGACGATCTTGGCTACTACGGCAGAGACTTTCTTATTAACTTTTTGGGAGAGTGAGTGTTTTCAGACAAAAAACTGCTTATCTCAGACATTTTTATAGACAGAAATGATTGTGTGGCTAAGATTTGGCCAATGAGATACAAAAGGATATTGTTGAGGGGATAGATTCTGTAAAACTGTTTAAAGAGAGAGCGGACTCTGTTACCCTTTCACATTCCTGCCTTTCTAGCAGCTGTCGTGCGACTGACGCGACCATGAAGATGAACTCAGGAGTTAAGGGTCACAGAGTCCTCGAGTTTGTAGGCCATTGTGGATGTTGATGACTTTGATTTGAACATGGTAAATGTAAGCTACCTGTGGGGCTTCCCATGAGTTAACAAAACATTTGATGCTCTGTGAGCTCGGCTGTCAAGGGAAGGCCACCTCTTGCTCCACACCTGAGATGCCAGATAAAATGCAAATACGATACAAATGCAGAGCCACGTTTGAATGCGACCCCTCTCGACCCCAGAGATGAAGATGCAAGCCGGGGCAGGTGGGAGCTGAAGGCATGGGCGAGGGTGCTCCTCCTTAGAGGAACGAGGCCATTATGGTGGAAACTGAGTAAAGTCTGGACCGTAAGTGGCTGACCCTTCTCTGAACGCGAGAGAAGCCTGCGTCCAGCCCGAGCACACAGCCCCGTAGCTGCGCGGGTTTCTTGCTTGGGGCTGAGGCTGGAACAGAGCTGATGTGAGAAACTGGAACCGGGAGGGGCGCCTCGCACCACAGGAGCCCAGAGCTGAGACACGGGAACGACCTACAAGCAGGACTTGAAGCAGGATGCCACAGTGTGTGAGCAGAAACACACAGCTGCCCCACGCGGAGGCCTGCGCGGAGGACCGTCCCTCGGAAGCCGGCTCAGACGACAGTGCACCCAAGAGACTGCAGACAGTGTGCGAGCTGAGTGTGACTGTCACAGAAGCATGTTCAACGTGTGAAGAGGGACAGAGGACGAAGAGAAGCCATGAGGCAAGAACAGGAATCTTGTGGAGAAGAGAAATCTAGAAATGAGAAATGCCAAGGCAACAACAACAGGGCTGATGGATTACCTGCTGACCTGGCTGGAGTGAGCTTGTGAAACTTGGTAGGAAATCACCTGCGATGTAGCACTGAGGGGCCAATAGATGGGAAACACGAAGGGGAAGGGAAGAAACAGGGAGGTAGAAGTTGTAAGTATTGTCAGGCTGTGCCCATCCATAGACGGCGCTTCGTCGCGTGAACGTTTCCGAGAGCGTCTGTGTTGTGTGCGTGTTTTGCCTTCTCAGCCCTGCGGACCTGCCTGCCGGGCCCTGGAGGAGGGACCTGGGCCTGTGCTGGGAGCCCCGGTCCTGTGAACGCCGCTAGAGCACGACAGGGAGCTCAGCAGGGCGAGCTCTCCTTCCTGCACCTCTTCCGCTCCTGAGTGAGGTTGGGTGGGTGACACAGAAGGAAAAGCACGGGAGACTCTCCTGGACAAAGTTACTGCCCGTCTCTGAGGCTCACCTTCCACATCCGAAGACTGGACGAGGAGAAGGTCTGTGTCAAGACGCCGTTGGGGGTGTGTGCTCTGGGACGGTGACCAGCCCAGGGCCTGGCTCACAGGAGGTGCTCAGTAAATAACCCCCTTTTCCGCTTCCCTTGGGCACTGATGAGGCTCCCTGTGCATCTGGCAGAAGGAAATCTAACCCCGGCTTGGTTGGTGGGAATGACGGATAAAGTGGTTACCGGGCATTTTGGATACCAGGTAGCTCCACGGGTCACGAGCTGTCACGCTCTCTGCTCTTTCACCCTCGTGAAGAGGGAAAAGGGAAAAGTGTTTGTTCCATAGAAAACGTCTCCCAGTCTGTCCCCACCCTGGGACGGGAGGGAGCAGTGCTCCTGGAATCTGCAGGATTTGCTACGCCCCGAGGAGCAGTGTCACTTGCTGTGAGCAGGAAAAAACGATTTCTGAGGCTACCTTATTGACAGAAAATTATATTTCGTGTGTTTACCTCACATTCCTATTCCTTTCACATCAGATTTGTCCTAGTATCTTTTAATTAAAAAGACAACGAAAAGTAAAAATATGCCAGAACAAAAAAATCTCCCGACTTCCGTTTTTCTAATTGTAAACAGTAACCCTGTTTGGTGTAGAATATTAGTAAATATACCATCTAAGCGCATAAACAAGCACATTAATGTCATCCTAACCCACTCACGGCCCCAGTCCTTTGCCCGCTCTCTGAGCCAGTGCCCTTTGCCATGTTTTTTGGTGGTGCCCTCCCTCTGGGAGTGGGCTTTTTTCTCACCCCTGGACGTTGGGCCCTGCCACCTCGCTTGCTTTGGCCCCTAGGATGGGCAGAAGTCACCCTGTGCCATTCCTGAGACTGCGCCCCCAGAGCCCTTTTGTGGTTCTGCTACGACCATGAGAAGGCCGCGTCCAGGCTGGTCCGCTGGCCCCGGAGGAGGGGAGACTCCAGGTGACGGCTGCCCCGCTGCAGTGCCCCAGGCAGGCCCCGCCTAGAGCTGCGAGCTGCCCGAGACCCTGGCCTCCGGGAACAGATCAGCTGAGCCCCCAGACATGGGAGCAGCAAGCGCTCCCGTTCTTTCCTGCCGAGGTTTCCCTGCGGCAAAAGCTGGCAACCCGGCATCGTTCTTCCATCTGGGGGTTTCTCGTCTCAGTGTCTCTCCCCCAAGCTGGCCTCACTCCCTCTCTTTCTCTGCTGTTCCCTTTTCTCTTTTTAAGAACAGGCAAATACTCACATATGAAATCCTGCCATACATGCAATTCTCTATCCTCATCTTTCACTTTAAAGACACAAAAAATTCTCTATAATATCATTTTCAGTAGACACTTTAGTATTTCATGATAGGTATCTACCATAATTCAGATAAATCATATTATTGGAAATTTAGGTCACCTCCATCTATTTTTATATCATTAAAAATGGCAATGAACATGTTTCTTCATGTTTACTTGTATGTAAAAATGATTTCTTCAGAGAGATTCTTAGAATTGGAGATACTGAGTCAAATGGCATGAATATTTTAGAAGCTTTTGGTAGGAATTGCCACACTGCTTTCCAGAAGGGTTTAATTTTCGTACCCTTCAGCCAGTGGAATATGGGAGTGTTTATTTCTTTATTCCTCACAATTACTTAGTACTTTAGTTAAATGTCTTAGGTAGATAAAAAAGGGCATGTAGTTTAATGAACATTTTTCTGATTCTTTGAACGTTTTGATATAATTTACTTGGTTGTATTTCCTTTCTCTTAGGGCCATTTGCATATGTTTTCTCAAAAGAGTAAAAGCATCTGCTAATGGGAAAATTCTGCCCTAGCGGTTTTATATTATTATGTGATCATACCTATTGTTGCTTCCCTTTGGGATTCTTTCCCCCATTGTTTTGAAAATTCTTTTAAACCTTCACAGGCTCCCACCTCTTGCCCTTGTGAATATTGTAGAAATCAATGCACACTTGTTAACGGAAAGAATGATTTTCTTGACCAGTATTCTCCAATTGTAATTTCTTTCTCCACAAAATATCCCTCCCGGGCACTTTTCCCTCAACCCTGTGTGCTGTTTCTGTTTCCCAGAGTCGCAGGAGGGTGCAGCTAACAGGCAGGCTGGGGGTGAGGCAGCTTCCCCACACCAGCTGGCTGTGCCCCTGCCCAAGGCTGCCCGGCTCCTACCTGCAGCTCAGGAAAGGCTCCGTGCCTGTGTGCGGGGCCTGGGCTCGCGGCGGCTCCTCCTCTGGTATCACCCCAGGGGAGCCTTCCGGGTCCTGGGTGCTGCCCGGGGCTGGAAAAAGAGGGAGGAGAGGCCCCCTTTCAGGCCTCTGCTGCCCGGTGATACACCCCCTCAACCAGAATAAAAGACACTGGCTGCTTTCAACGTCTCCCTGGGGCATCTGAGCTTAGAGAAAGATGAGATGTTAACGTGATGGAGAACTGACAAACCCTTAGATCCCCTGAAGCTGGACGACTGGGCCCACGCAGGCTTCCTTGTCCAGCAGGTGGGTGACTTCTCAGTGCCGGGAGCAGAATTCACCCCGACATAAGCCAGCTCGGCATATTGATTATTTTGAGCTGAAGGCAACTGAGATAAAAGAAAAGCTCTCTGCCTCCCATATTTGCCTAAAAACAGGACTTACCTTTTGAAGGGGCCCCTCCCCTCTCCACCAGGAAGCTCCCAAGTTAATCACTGGAGGCACCCTAGACCCTTACCAGCCCAGAGATGCCACCAGAGGAATTTACATAAAAACCAGCCCTATCCACCATGACTTTCCCATATATTTACCATCCCACAATTTGCCATCCTAGAAACTCAAAAAGTCCTTCTCTTTCGTCTTGTCACTTCTCTAAAAATGTACTGTTCTTTTGTTAAGATGCTATATAGGCCCCAGTTCTCGCCACCCCTTCAAGTTACTCAGCACTGAGGGCTCCTACACTTGGGCCATGCACATGTGAATGAGCTTCTGCTTGCTTTTCTCTCGTTGCCCACGTGGAGAGCCTAAGATGGGTAGAGGAAAAGGGTCTTTTCCTTCCCTACGTCAGCTGGCTCGTGCTCTCTTCCTGTGGCCCGGTGACTGCTCTCTGCCGTCACCTTCCAGGCCTGGGAGGGGGACTGTGCTGCCTGGACCTTGGGGGTGGGTCTCAGTTCACGAGTCTAACCTGAGCACTCTCACCGTCATCTGTTCTCCTTTAGGAAGACCCTTTGCCAACACCAGCTGGTGGGACCCACCCTTATTTAAAGCCTATCTTACCCTTCCTGATCCTTACAGACTTCTTTAAATTTCTAGAATCTTTTATTATAACCATGGTTCTTCCTGACCCTTTCGGCCCTGTGTCAAAGGCAGCAATAAACATCTGTGGAGTGACGTTATCCCCAGGTTGTAGCTCATGGAATTGGCTAGAAGATGTTTTCTCAGGATCTACAGGGTCCAGGGCAGAGTCCAGTCTAGAATCCAGGCCTCCAGGGTCCTAACCTGCCTTTCTTTTGTGTGATTCTTCTTTCTGGAGTCCCTGACCCTCCAAGGGCCCCAGGCCTTGTGATTTTATCAGGAGTGTCTAGATTCTTGCCTTCTTTCCTGCAGGAGACTTCAATTATTTGTATACGCTTTCTAGGCACCTTAAATCAGGAAACCAACAGGAGAGAGATTTCTGGGAGGAAGGACCACTGTGGCTGTGGTGGAGGGATCAGAGGGGAGGGCCGGGCAGGGTGAGCTCTGACATTCAGACTCCCTGGGCGGAAATCTCAGCTCCTTCCTGTAACAACGTCTCTGAGCCCCAGCTGCCTCACCTTTAAAATAAGCAATCATACCCACTTCACAGGGTTGCTGTGAGGATGAGATAGCAGATAAAGGGCTTATCTCAGTATCAGTAAACACAGCCATCAATGATGTTACCACTTATTGGTGGGGCGGGGATGAAGGGAATTGCAGACCACAGGGTCTGAACAGATGAAGAGAAAGCAAGTCAACATAAGCGGACAAACTATCTCAACCTCTCCTCGACTTGGAGGAAGGACAGAGACTGTGGGTCTCTACCCAGAGAGAGGTGCGGGCCGTAGGAAGGCAAATCAGAAGGAGGGGTGGGATGTGAAGTCTGGGATCAGCTGAGCGAACGTGGCCTCGTTCCCATGGGTGGGAACAACCCCAGTGAATGACACGAGCTCTGACGAGGTACTCAAACCAGCAACCGCTCGGCAAACGAGGGAGGCCACGACAATGGGGGTTACCACGGGCAGGGAGCCCTGAAGGCTTGCAGCTGGATTAGAGTGGGTTGAGGCTATAAATCAGGTGCTGGTTGTAAAAACAAGAATCTTGGTGCCAGGGAGCTTAGGGTGCCGATGCCTGCCCCACCTTGGGCTTTGGTGCTCCTCGTGGGAGGGCAGAGGCTGGGGCTTCAGCAGTGTGTCACTCGCCAGTTGAGGGTCTTGTTGACAGGCGGAGAGAGGCCGTTCGCCAACCCGACCAGATGCCTTGGAAGAACAGACAATCCTGTAACTTTCCTCGAGTTCTGGGCCCAGAAAGGAACAGCGATGGACCAGGACATCATTGCTATATCAACCTGGACAAGTGTGCCGACCTGAGCTTGGGACTCTGTGTCTCCGTGGAGCCTGGCCGCTGACTGCCGGGTGCTCCTGGGGGCCCCAAGCACCTGCCCGGCATCAGTGAAGACCTGACGAGGGTCGTGGCCTCCCTCGTCTGTGCCCGCAGGCTCCTCGGGACTCGTGTGCCGTGGTGGATTCTGCCCTACTGCGCTGGGGGTGCCCAGGTGGGGACTCCTGAGCAGAGGCCTTCTGAGTCCTCCTTTTCTCAGACACGCTGCCCTCAGGCAGGACTTGGGAACCGTGCCCCCCTCCTGAGCTCCCCGTGAGGGGCCAGGTCAGTTAGTGGACTGGGGAGATTGTCTCAGACACACTTCTTGGAGGAGGTACAGAGGCCCCCGGTGGAGCAGGGGCTCACCTCGAACACAGGCCACGCGTCTTGGGTTTCTGACCCGAGTGCAGGGCACCTGCTGAGCATGAGGCCCGGGTGTGTGTGAGCGTGTGGACGTCAGCGCGGTGTAGTGTGTGTGTGTGTGTGTGTGTGTGTGTGGTACGTGTGATGTATGTGCACACATGAGTGTATCTGTGGGCGTGTGTATGTGGCACGAGTGTGTGGTGAATTGGATGTGTGCGTGTAAATGTGCAGGTGTGCGTGACTGTGGCCTGTGTGTACATGCATGTGAGTGCATGTGCGTGTGTGTGCCCGCGCACCAAATGAGTCTCCACAGGGTCGGGCTGCCCGCCTGCCCCGCAGTGCTCACCTTTCTCCGGGCCCCAGCTGGTTGCCCATGCGCTGAGAAAGTGCGGCCGCCAGGGCCTCGATGGCTCGGTCGAGCTTCTCACAGCCCGGGCGGGGGGGCGCTGGGGGCGCAGCCTGGGGGAAAGAACACAGAGAACCGCTTCAGACATCCCCTCACCCCACCACAGCCACCCTGCCAGACACTTCACTCCACTTTCGGGAGGCTGGTGTGTGTGCCCCTCGCCTTCGTGCTGTTTCCCTCTCCTCCCAGCACCCGCCCCACCCTCTCTTCCTTTAGGCCATCACCGCGCCGGGCTGGACACACAGGGACACACCGCACCGGGCTGGACACACCGGGCTGGACACACACACAGGGACGGGGCCTTGAGGCGTGTGGCCCGCTGCCTTGAGTCTGGATGGCTTCCTCCTTTCTGTACATCTCATTCTGTTTCTTACTGTTTCTAAACTCAGAAATGTCTAAAGATGCGCCCATCTTTTAGTCACGCGTCTCATCTGTCCCCTCTGCGAGCCGGGCTGTGTTTTGTGTTCCCCAGGCCTCCAGGCACACGCTGTGGCCGTGCACCTCCCCGGGCCAGGCAGTGAGTGAGGCTTCCTGGGTTATAGGAGGATTTCGCTAAAGTGTTGATTAACTGCTTTTTTCTTTTTGATTTGCTAAAGCTTCCTCACATATTATTTTTGAAAAATTGTCCCCCACCAAGGAAAAATGGAACCCCCTCCCTTCAGTTGGCAGAAGCATCCAGGCTTCTAACCCAGCTCCTGTCAGTGCCCAGGACGAAGACGGCCCCGGCCTGGTCTCAGGCAAGCTTCAGAGGAAAGCGTGTTCTCTGTCCTTCTCAGGATCACTTGGCCGGATGTCCCAGACCAGAGGGTACCAACGAGAAGTTTGAGAAGCAGTGGTTTGGAGGCAAGGTCAAGGAAGGCTCTCGACATCATTGCTCAGTCCCCAGGGTTCCACAGGCCACACACTCACACATACACACTCATGCACACCCCCACACCACTCATACACGCACATGCACGCACACACACGCGCACACGTCCACCACACCACTCACACACGCACACTCACACGCACGCATGCTCACACACGTGCACACGTCCATCACACCACTCATACACGCACGTGCACACATGCACACACGCACATGTCCACCACACCACTCATACACGCACACTCACACACACGCATGCACACGCACGCACACGTCCATCACACCACTCATACACGCACATGCACACACACGCACACGTCCACTACACCACTCATACACGCACACTCACACACACGCATGCACACACGTGCACACGTCCATCACACCACTCATACACGCACGCGCACACACGCACACATCCACCACACCACTCATACACGCACATGCACACGCGCACCCCCCCACTCATACATGCACATGCACGCACGCACACACCTACACACACGCACCCCCCCCACACCACTCACACACTCTCACACACACCACACGCTCATGCACACGTGCACACACACATGCAGCTGCCAGGGAGGGTTTCTGGCACCTCTGACCTGCCCCCTGAGTCCTGTCCCCAGGGCTGGGACCGTGAGGACAGTTTATGGAAAAAGTAGCACAACTGCCTGGGCCTCAGCCCCCTCACGCTTTCCAGGGAGTGACCTTGACGGAGGAACAGCCTACCTCCCCCAAAGGGCCAGGCAGCTCCGTGGGGGACGGGGGCTGGGCTCGGAGCAGAAGCCTGGCGCTGACTGGTGGGCCCGTGGGCTCTGGTGGGGCACGTTCCTTTGTGCCGTTAGCTAGAGGTGGAGGAGGTGTGTGAGGCATGTGCAGCCGGGATCGGGCTTCTGGGCTGGCCCTTCATTCTCTGTGTGAAGCTGGGAGGGCCCTTTAGCCTCTTTAGGCCTCAGTTGACTTATCCATAAAATGGGGATGTGATAATACCACTCACAGGCTTCCTGTGACAGTTGAGTTGGTTAGTTAATGGAGGCAATGCTTGTCTGGTGATTATACAGCACCGAGGGCTGTGGAGGACAGCGCCTGGAGAAGGTAGGGTCCCAGGGCCCCTGTGGCCCCAGGGAGTGGGCACAGGAGGGCTGGGGCAGGCTCCCGTCCTCCGTCAGACCACCATGTGTGCTGGTCTCCCCGTGGGAGCACCCCTCCCCTGGCCCTGTGCCCAGGACCGTCTTCTGCGATCAGGGTGGACGCCGCCTGGTCACCGTCCCCAGTGGGATGACACAAGTGAGATGCAGTTAGGCAGTACCCAGTGCTAGCGCTGCTATCACGGCTTTTCACCTGCTGCGGTGGCCCCGCCCCAGGCACCTGCCTCTCACCTGGAGGACGCTGCCGGGGCTCCCTGGGAGAAGCTGCAGCGTGGCTACCCAAAGAGTCCTCGCTCTGCCTAGCGTGCGCTCTGGCCGCGGCTCTGGCCCCCATCTCCGGGTCTCCAGTCCTGCCCAGGCCTGGCCGCTTGGCTTCGCTGAGGCCCTGTAGGAGGTCCTGGAAGAACCAGGGCTGCGTCACCCTCTCGGGTGTGAACGTCCTCCTCGGCTCAGGCCATTTCCAGAAGGGGTGGGTGGCTGTTTCCTGAGCGGGAGAGATGATGGGCCTGGTTGTCTGGGGTTGGGGCTGACCTGGAGCCCCCGGAGCTGCTGGCGGGCACCCCCGTAGAAGGCCAGAGCGTCGCTCCGGTGCCGGCTCAGCTGGGCTGCCACGTGCAGGCTCTGGTCCTCAAGCTTGTCGTAGAGCGTCCGGATGCTGAAGTCCTCCAGGGCCTTGGCCGGAAGTGGCTTCCCTGCAGGAAGAGGCCTTGGGATGAGACTGTGTGATGAGCAGGGCCCTGAGCACAGCAGCTTCCCTCCTCCTGGGGGGGCTTTGCCAGCAAGATGCAGGGGCAGAGGAGGGCGGACGCCTGCCTGCAGGAAGAGGCCCGCTCAGGGGGAGGGAGGAACGGCTGGGCTCAGGCTGGTTGGAGCAGGGGAAGGGGGAGACCTCGAGACACAGGAGGTGGCTGCCGGGAGACCCTCCTCAACGTGGGCGTGACGGACCGGGGCCTGCGGCCTCTGCCTGTCCCAGGCTTGACGTCACACCAGATCTGGGCGACGGGCGCTGCCCCCTTGCTCTGCTGAGAGAGGGTCTCCGCGTCCCGGACGCCCCGCGAGCCGCCTGAGGAGGCTCCAGGCTGTGCGTGTACCACTGCCCCTTTCCTCCATGAGCTCATCTCCTGTCCCAAGTTCCCACCACGGGCCCGAGCTCCCCTGCGCAGCTCTCGCCCTGTCTGCCCGCTGCTCCGGGGACTCCTGGCTGGCCGGGCTGACAGCTGCTCCCAGTGACCCGTGGCCCACACCGCGCTGGGCAGACGGCCGAGCTGGCAAAGCACTCGTTGGGGCGAGGTGGGGTCCCCTCCTTCAGGCCGAGGGCTGTGGCCCAGGCTGACCCCAGGGGACTGAATTTGGGTGACCCCACGAAGCTGCTGGGCCTGAGCAGGTTCCCTCACATCCGGCAGGAGCACCCTTGGCTGAGGGAGGGCCTTAACCCCTCAGCTTGTCCCCCTCACACCCACTCTGCTCTGCTAGAAGGACAGGTCTTCCCCTGTGGGGCCGTCTTGAAGCAAGGAGGACGGAAGGTGGTGTGAGGCCCCCCTGCTGGCCGGGCTCAGCCAGGGCGGCACCTGCAGGACAAGCGTGAGTGTGACGCCGAGTGACCGCCCACCGCCCTTTCCCAGGCCGGGGGGTGTGTACGGGGGGAGGCGAGCCCTTTCACACTGGAACAGTGATGGGGGCATTCTCGTTCTGAGCAAAAAACATGGGCCCGGCCAAGCAGGGCCAGCGCTGCCTCTTTCCTCTCTCCGCGTCCAGGGTGGGGTCTGTCCCCCGAGCATACCAGCCGTCAGGTGGGAAGGGGGGTGGGAGGGCAGCTTTCCAGAAGACCGACCGTGGCCTCCCACTGTGTCAAGGTCTTCCTCCCCATCTGCCCTGTCACTGCCCCCCACCCCCAACCCAAGGGACCGGTCCTCCGTCCACAAGAACCCTGTCCCACCCCTTTGCGGGAGCCCCGGCCCAGCCCCGGGCTGAATGGAGGCTGCCCTGGGGGTAGAGCGCTGGCCTCAGTCCCGCTCTATGCAGCCCCTCCCTGTGTCCATGGTTCACACTCAGCACAGCCCGCCCGCTGGTCACCCATGAGGGGCGACCTGGGGGAGGGTGACTGGTTCTGGGCCCAGCCAGTCCTCTGCCCACACCAGGAGGGCGCTGTCGCCACTGTCCAGAGCCCTCAGCGGGGAAGGGGAAGCGGCAACTGGCCTGCAAGCGAGGGGCTCAGGGACTGCAGGGCCAGGCCCGCCCGCGGTTTGGGTGGGTGAGCACACGGGAGGAGGCCTGTGCTCAGCTTCACACGACCAGCAAGACCCCAGGGCTGCTCTCATCCCATGACGACGGCGCCAGTAACCCCCATGTCACTGCCTCCCAGGCCCCTGAGCATCCAACCCACTTCCTGGGGCCCCTGCAACTCCGCAGTTAGGAACCAGCGGAGGTGACGTGAGCTGCGTGAATCCAGGTCAGGGAGCACGACCAGGGCCCTCCCCCGCTCCGCCGACGTCGGAGCCCGGGCAGCCCGGGCAGTGAAGGGTCTTTCCTCCGCCAAGCCCCGCTCCATGCCCCTCTGCACACGCTTCCTGGAGCTGGGGGCCAGGTGGGGATGGGGGGGGTGCAGGTCCCCCAGGTCCTCCTGAGCTCCGAGGCAGTCCCCAGCTCTCCAGGTGCGAAGAGGAGCTGACGGGGCAGGTGAGTCGTCCCGTAAAGGGATCCTACAGGGCAGTGCTCATCCCTGCCCTGGCCCCAGCCCTGACCACACGGTAGGGATGGGAGAGCTCTGGCCGCTCTCCGGCCTCACCGCCTGGGGGCGCTGGGCAAGCCACTCACATCCCCTAGAGCCTTGGTCTCTGTCTGTAAAAGGCGGACAGAACAACCCCGGAAAACACCCACTTCTAGGTTTTGTTGTGAGGCTGAGACAGCCAGCACGGACTGTCATAAACCATCAGTGGAAATACCAGCTGCTCCCCAGAGCGTGTACCTGGGGTGCAGGTTGGGGGAGGACAGGTGGGGCTGGTACCTGCACCCTGGGCAGTGGTTTTCCCCGTGGAATCCGCTCCTTCCTCAGAGCCCCAGGGACCAAGGTCTTTAGTGAACGGAAGGCTGCAAAGAAGCACCAGCCTCAGTGCAAGACACACACGCCACAGGAGACACGGGGCCAGAGCCGGGGCGGAAGGGGACTCACCAGTCCCCGAGGGGCACACGTTCCGCAGGCACGTGAGGCCCTCGAGCCCTTGCGGGGCAGGCCGGGGCCAGCGAGGAGGGTCTTAGCACAAGGCCCAGGCCCGTCAGCAGCACGGTTGCCAAGCCAACAGCCAGCAGCACCCCTGAAAGGTGGGGGAGTGGGGTGGGCCCGTGAGACCGCGCAGTTCCCCGCTTCCTCTTCCCACTGCCTCTGGGCTTTAGCGCCTCACAGTCCCCTGCAAAACAGCCCTTGTTCCTGCCTGGGCGCTTAACCCTGTCAGGGCTCCGACGGGAGGTTTTCCTCCACCCTGCACCCTCCGGGGGGCTCTCCTGGGACGCTGCTGCTCTGCCCTCCTCTGGCCACCCAGGGCCAGGCCTGGGCCCCGTGCCCAGGCGGGCTGCCTCCCCTCCGCCCACCTGGGCAGGCCCAGCCTGGAGCTCGGCGCAGACGGCCAGCTCACGAAGATGGAGGGAAGAAGGCGGAAGACCCACAGAGGAGGCTAGAACAGGTGTGTCCGGATGCCTCTGCTCAGGGGCCCCGCTCACCAGGGTGGGCCCCAGAGCCGAAGGGAGCAGGGAGGGTGAGACAGACAACCCCAGTCACGGAGATTCAGTGTCCTTTGCCCGGCAAAGGCAGCCCCGGTTCAAGGACAAGCTTGTCCTCATCTCTGCGGGGCTACGCCCAGCGTCACAGGCTGAGCCCGGCCCTCCCACGGCCCCTCCGTGTCCCGGCTCCTCTGCGTGCTCTGCGGTCAGCACCTGAGATGGCCGCCCAGTCGGGGCCCAGGTTTGGCACCCGGTGCCTGAGGACGCCGTGCCTGGCGAGCTGATAGGGTGACGAGGGCTGCACAGGGGACAGGCCCGGGTCGCAGGCCACCCCCTTCTCCTTCACCAGCACCACGGCGATGCTCTCAGGCAGCCCGTTGTCCCGAAACACGTACGTGCCCAGATCTAGAAACTGGTGAGCAAACCTGGGGGGCGAAGGGCCAGAATGTGAGCAGGTCTGGGGGCCACGAGCCGTGCACAGGAATAACGAGGTCCAGGGAAGCCGCCCGTGACCCCCTCCCACGTGGTCTGCGGCCCCCCGCCCTCACCCGTCCCTCCTGTCGCCCATTCCTGAAGAGGCTGTGACCTACACTCGAGGCGCCAGTCAGCCCAGCTACGGTCACCTGGAGAAGCTGAGGTGAGTCTCCCGCACCAGGTGGCCGAGGTGCCTGAAGGCCCCGAAGTCCCAGTGAGGGTTGCTGTTGAGCAGGTGCTGCTCCTGGTACACAGGGAAGTGACTGGCCGAGCGATCTGGCGAGTGAACCAGTTGGCCTGGGTTCCAGAGGCTCTCCCAGCCCCAGCCCCGGGCAGCCCACGCCCTGTCCCCAGGAGACCGTTTTCAGCCTTTCGTGTACGTAATCTTGGTGCCAGGGCGAGACCCTCCTCCCCTCGGCCTACGGAGAGAGATGCCCCCTAGGGGTGAGTACAAGCGGAGGCCCCGGTGCTCTCGGTGGTGGGCGCTGCTCAACTCTGTACCCCTGGCAGGCAACACAGTGTAGGCATGCAGCAGGCGCTCAGCTCATGCTGTGGGGTAGCTGGGGCAGAAGCACAGGCGGCCCGGGCCTGGCCGTTCCCTCTGGCGAGGCCTTTCTCACGCACCAGTGCCGGTGCTTCTCCCTGAGACCTGTCTCCTGCCCGCCAAGGCGCCACAGAGGCAAATGCCGAGGCTGAGAGGGTGACGTTGCGCCAGGCCCAGTGGGTTTACGGGTTTACGGGAGAGCTAGGCCTGGAGATGCCCAGTCTGCGTGAGTCCTTTCCCTCTTCGAGCTCGCTGCCCTGGCACTGCTTTGTGGGGGAGGACCTTGGGCAGCTACGTGACACGTGAAACCAAACACTTGGTCTACTTCTACCTGGGCCAGGTGGCTGTTCTGTTCAAATCTGATTAAGACTGGGGTCTTCAGCCTTGCCTAAGGGAACACCTCGGTCTCTGAGCCTCTACTGCCTTGCTCTGTGCAGATATCCTCTGTACTGATTTGTTGTGCTTTTAAAGCAATTAGCAAGCTAGCTTACATTTGTAAGCTCTCTGACCCCTGTTTTTTCTCTCAAAATCCATTCTTTAGGGGCTTCCCTGGTGGCGCAGTGGTTGAGAGTCCGCCTGCCGATGCAGGGGACAGGGGTTCGTGCCCCGGTCTGGGAAGACCCCACGTGCCGTGGAGCGGCTGGGCCCATGAGCCATGGCCGCTGAGCCTGTGCGTCTGGAGCCTGTTGCTCCGCAACGGGAGAGGCCCCAACAGTGAGAGGCCCGCGTACCGCAAAAAAAAAAAAAAAAAAAATCCATTCTTTAAAAAAAATCTATTGGAGAAAAAACAAAAAAGCCAGCTGGGGGGTTAGCTGCCTCCTGCCTCCGTCTTGGCTGGCTGCCCGCCTGGCGTCCTGTGACGTCCGTGCGTGTGAGCAGGTTGGGGGACGCCCATCCCCGCAGCAGCGCCGGGGGAAACACCAGGTGGGAGAACGGGAGGGAGTTAAAGTCTCCTGAGGGCCTGGACCACCGCTCAGCGCGTGGAGGGTGAATGTGAGCTTGGAGGGGATGCGAGCCTCTTCCACCAGGGAAACAGTTTCGTGGAGGAGAAACTGGCTTGCTCTGTGAAGTTCCGGGGCTGGGGCTCACGGGGAGGCTTTGGCTCACGGTGGGGAAGACGATCCTTATAAACAAAGACGTCCGAGATGGAGGGGCTGTGGGCAGGGCTAGGGTCTGGCCCTGGCACAGAGCAGCCCTGCAGAGGGGCTGGAGCCCAGTCAGAGGTCACCTTGGTGAGCCCCACCTCGTCCCAAGGCGAAGAGGTCCGACAACCCCACCTGGAGCTGGAACATCAGCTCCAAGATACGGAATCGAGGCCCCCAGTGAAACGACCAATCAGGCCAAGAGCAAGGGGACAGCGCAGGCCTGTGACTCACTGCTGTGGAGTCCGGTCTGTCTGTGAGGTCCCTGGACAGCTGGGCGGGGGAAGGACGACAGAGTCAGGGCGGGACTCACTGTGGCGAAGAATATGAAGCTGGAAAAGAATCGCGTCCCCCTGTGCCAGGCAGATCACTGGGTTTGGAATACGGGGATCGGTGCTGGGATCTTGGGGGGCAGGGTGCTCCGGGCCTGCAGTCCAGTGACGCCCTTGCTGCCGTGGGCTGGACACAGGCGGACCTGGGACAGTTTGGGGGAGGAAAGCTGGAGGACCTGGGCCTGACCGGGGAGCCACGCACCTACCTCTGGGCCCCACCTGTCTTGCTTCCCCTTGAGGAGCAGTCCCAGGCCTCAGGGGGCCTCATCTCCCCAAAGGCTGTCTTCCCACATGACCTGTGATCCCTGTCAGACTGAGGGATCCCCCCACTCCTTCCACCCTCTCTGGGAAAGCCTGGCTCGGTACCCCTCTGCGCTCACCGAGGAGGAAGGAGCCCAGCACGGTCCGTGTGGAGATGACAAAGCCAAGGATGCCGTGGGGACCACACTGGACCAGGTGGACCCTGGCGCTCCCTTGGAAGGATGCGTCTGGGCCCACTGTGCTTGTTAGTCTCTAAGAACAAAGCACAGCTTTGAACACCGGGGAGGGGCAGCGGGACTTGCAGAGATGGCCGGACGGAAGCCCAACCACCCATCCGGCACAGGTCCTGGTGAGGCTAGGCTCAGAGGTGCCACCCACGCTCTCCCAGGACGTGTTTCCTTCCTCACTAAACTTGCCCTGGTGGCGTCCTGGACCCTGGGCCCTTCCTCTCTTCAGGAAACACCCCTGACTCAACTCAGGCCCCTGTACTGAATCATTGTTTTCCTCTCTTTTCTCTCTACCTGCAAACATCCTACTTATAGAGCAACTTAGACACATCACCCTGTATCCCAAATCTGCTGTCCAGTCCCAGGCCAGGGGACCCTTCCTACCCTTCCAGTGGCAAGCAGACACAGCCCCCTAGAGCCTCTGGCGACAGACATCCAGGGCGAGCCGTTCCTGTGTCCAGGCCCTGGTCCTCTGCCCCCGACCTCGACGAAGCATTGAGGCCCTGAAGACAGCCAGGGCCACACCATGGTGGCCAGGAGATGGCTCTGCCCTGTGGCCAGCGGTCTGGGCTGGGACAAGGCTCTGGCTGGGCTCTAGCAGGGTCCACACCATTTCTGTGATGGTGGGGAGCGGTTTCACACCTCTGGACCTCGCTTCACACTTCTGTAAAGTGAAGCTGATGATTTCCAAGGTCCCTTCTGGCGTTCAAACTAGATGGTCGACGTTGACATAAGAAACACCACTATCGCCTCCTTCCCGCCCTTCCTTCCAGCCCGCAGATCAGATATTCGTGCAGATAGCAAAGACCAGGTAGGAAGGCTCTTTGAAAGATGGGCTTTCCCTCCTGCCGCCCGGGTTCCTTAGACTGGTGCTGGGGGTTCCGTAGCCACGGGTGCCGGGGGCCCATCTCTCCTGCCCGTCCCTTCCAGCCTTTCCTCGAGCTGGGCTCACCCTCTGGACGCTGTCCCCAGCCTCGTCCTTCACGCTGAGGATCAGCTCTCTGCTGGGCCCCAGGCCAGGGAGAGCTGGGGGGCCCTGGCCAGACACTGGGCGTCACAGAGCTCTTCTGCAGAGACGTACTGCTGGCACTGGCAGCTGCGGGAGAGGATGGGGTGGGGAGGGGTCTGTCTCAGCAGGCTCCGTGTGCCCCTCAGCTGGCTCGGGCTCCTCTGGAGGAAAGCGAGCTGCCTATGCTTCCTGAGCAGCGGCTGCACTTTCGGGGGAGGTCCTGAGGTGACTGGACAACACGCTCTCGCCCCTGGCCCTGTGCCAGCCTGGGCACGTCCCGGGACAAGAGCAATTGTCCTGGTTGGGGGGCTCGGCACTTTTGCTCGGCTTCCTGCCAGGGCAGATTGTGGCGAGGGTGAGCTGCTCAGCCTGGAACGCTGCCAGTGCAGCGGCTGCCCTCCACAGCCTGTTCCCCCCAGTGCAAAGGTCAGCTGGAGGTCTAGAACTCAGGACCGCATCAGGGCCCCTCCTGGCTTGGGGTCCAGTCAGGGTCAGCTCCTGGCAGTTGCGGGGGCCTGTGGTCTGGACCTCACTCTTCCCTGCTGCCAGCGCCCCTTCAGGCCGGGCCCCTTGCCCCTGGCTGTGCTGGCTGGGCGCCCATCTCGGGATGCGCACACAGGCAGCTTCTGGGAGGAGCTTGCAGGAGGCGGCTCAGTCTGGGTCCTGCCAACAGCCTCCTGGACGGGCCCTCGGGGGACGGTCAGGACCTGCCTGGAGATGGTGGCTTCATTATACTCTCAGCGGTTTTTCGTCACTCACATGCCCAGTCCAGCGCTGAGCTCCTCGCCCACTGGGCGACAGAAGAAGGAGCAGTTGTACTGCTTGGGGGACACACACGTGCGGGTGGCGGCCAGGCGGACGTCTCCAGGAGAGCAGCGCTCCACGACCTGTGGGAGGGCGTGGGAGGAGAGTCCTGGCCCAGCACCTGCAGGCCTGGGGTGCACCAGAGAATACTCCAGGGACAGGGGCAGGGTCTCAGGGGGAGCCAGGCCCCTCTGAGAGTTCATGTAGTCAGTATGCTAAGACTAGGGTTAGGCTTGAGGGTAGAGGGGAACCCACGAAAGTAGTAGGAGACAAGTGAGCTGCCTTGGGAGGTATTTGGGAGGCCTAGCTCTGGGGAGGCCGGACCCAGGTTCCCACACAGCAGCTAAGATGACCTCCTAGGAGATGAGTGAGGATCAGCAGGACGGAAGGTGGGGGCTCGTCAGAGAAGGCTTGCTGGAGGAGGTGGTGGTGCAACTGGTTTTGAAGCAGAATTGTGAGGGCAAGACTCACAGAGGGAGGGCGGTTCAGAGGTCAGAACGACCAGAGGGTGTCGGGGGAGGGGGGCGGCCCAATCAGCGGGGCTGGGGTGGAGGGGTCTGCAGAGGGCGTAGCAACAAGTGAGGCTGGTGAGCTGGCCGGGCGGCCACCCGTGTGTTACCCTGGGCCCTCACCATCTGCCTGCCTCCTGAGAGTGGGGGTCCAGGAAGGAAGGGGGCTGGGCGGCCACAGCCGCCTCCCTGGAGGTCATGTCGGGGAAGACACACTCCCACCTGAAAACCTCAGTTACTTAGGCCAGTGGTAGCCAGACTTTTCATCCTGCTTCCCGAGAGTAAAAAAGTACTGTAAAAAATATTGTGATAATATACACTAGACTGAGTATAATATATACGCGCACATGTAAACGCAACTGAAAAGCTAACGAGGAGAAAAAGTGAATATGAACCGTTCTGATACTTCCTTCTTGTACCCCAGTGGCTTATCTAGAGCACACCCACGTTGAGACGGGCTAGGTGAGGCCCAGAGCCTTCCCTGTTCCCTGAAGAGCGGTGACAGGTGAGGGAATTTGCCTATTAACATCAGGGATGGGCTTTAGGTGACGCCCATGAAATAAGCCACACCTCTGGTTGGGGATCTGATCTGTATGTGATCGGAAGACGTGTCAGAGCGGAGACATGTGTTCCCTGTCTCCACTAGGCCTCCAACTAGGAGACAGGTTTGACCTTCGGGGCCAGGAGGTGGGGTCCCCACGCAGGCCAGTGTGAGGCACCTGAAGGCCTCCGGCTGGTAAGCAGCTCTGAGCGGGAAGGAGGGTGCCCCTGAGGGAGGGAGGGCGTGGGCCCGCAGGGAAGTCAGAGAGGTGCGGAGGACGGGCGGGTGGGAGGGAGCCCAGCTCCTCACAGAGCTGAGGAAGCAGCAGGGAGCTGGGCCCGTTGGTGACACGAAGGACAGATGCCCCGACTGTTCGAGGGACCAGCTTCTTATCCAAGCTGAGGGCCCTCAGCTGAGCTGAGACTCGAGCAAGGCCTGGGAGCTAGGTTAGCCAGTGGCTTTTCAAACTTCAGCGAATATCAGAACCACTTGGAGGGCTTGTGGAAACCCAGTTTGCTGGGTCCCACCCCTGGGGTTCCTGATCCAGTAGGTCTGGGGTAGGGCTCAGGGTCTGCATTTCTAACAAATTTCCAGGTGATGCTGATTCCGTCAGTGCAAAGATCACACTTTGAACCACCGGTCTAGGATAAGGCAGGGTGCAGAGCCTTTTGTACGCAGGGGAGAGGGGCTCCGACAGGGAGGGACCACTGGAAACTGAGGACCGCGTGACTTAGGGCTCCGGGCAGGCTGGGGCCAGGGCCAGGGGCTGCTGCCTGTTTCCGCCTGGTGGGGATAAAGCAGCACGCCTCAGCCTGTTGGCTTTTCCCCTGTTGAGCAGCGGGGTCTTCAAACGGGAAGGTAGAACGGCCTGATGAAGTGGACGGTGGCCAGAGGAGGAGGGTGGTGAGAGAGCAGCGTCTCAGACGGAGCTCCTGTCAGACTTGGGTGGGTAGGCAGCCTTGGGGTCCTGACTGTTGTCTTGTTTGCTGTGGCTCAAATATGGGATTAAGACCGACTGATAACTGGAGGTTTGGACTCAAAGGGGAAACCTCCGAGCAGATAGGGGCCTGGGCGAGGGGCTGAGTGAGCTGGGGCAGCACCGGGGGCAGCTGTACCACACTGGTTGGGCAAAGTGTCCCCCATAAAGATGTTGCTGCCTTTTAGGAGGAAGTCGGATCCAGAGCCTCCGGAGCTGGCTCTGAAGGGAGGGCGTCTGGATCTTGCTGCCACCAGGGCTGTGTGCCTGGGGAGGGGACATCCTCCTGCAGACCCCTCCACGCCAGCCCGGCCGATTGGGCTGGCTCCCCGACGCTCCCCAGCCTCTAGCCTCCTGGCCCACACGGGATGGTCGCCCCTGCGGGGGCGACTCCAAGACCCTTTACGAGGCTGAGGTCCTGGGGCTCTGTGATAAGGAGAGACCCCGAGGTCGCCCCACTTGTGCAGGACGTAATCCCTGGCTGTGGCCCACGGAGGCGCCCGGCAGGCGCGGACGGACGGTGCTCCCCTTGCCCCCCTCGGCCGCGGGGCTACCTGGGGCTGACAGTCCTCTTCACTGCTGCTCTCGCCCTCGTAGGACTCGTGTCCTGCCCGGCAGATGCAGGAGCCGTCTGACTTCTGGAAGACCCTGTTCAGTCCCCGGCACGTGCAGTGGGAGGCACCTGGGGAGAGAGGGTCCCGCAGCCGTCCAGGCACCTGGCAGGGAGCCAGCGGCAGCCAGGTGGAGGGAGCAGACACCTGTCTTTACCAAAGTACTGACCTGGAGGGTCTTTGAGGGGGTTGAATGAGATTTTCCAAATCTCAACCCTGACTTTGCATTAGAATCTGAGAAGTGTTTAAAAAACATCAATGTCTGGGTTGAGGTCTGGGTCCCCTTTAGACCAATTAAATAGAAATCTCTGAGGCAAGGCGAGGCCAGGACAACGTAAAATGGATAGCTAGTGGGAAGCAGCCGCATAGCACAGGGAGATCAGCTCCGGTGCTCTGTGACCACCTAGAGGGGTGGGATAGGGAGGGTGGGAAGGAGATGTAAGAGGGTGGAGATATGCGGATATATGTATACATATAGCTGATTCATTTTATTATACAGCAGAAGCTAACACACCATTGTAAAGCAATTATACTCCAATGAAGATGTTAAAAAAAAAAAAAGCGCCCGCAGAGCTTTATTGTTCAGCCAGGACTGAGAGCTAGCGATGCAGCTGAACACCCCCGACACCTGTGGAAGTTGTTGCTCCTACTTGGATCACAGAAACCCTCTGGCATGTCGTGAAGGGCTGGCACAGGCCTCTGTCTCTAGGCAATTAGCAGGGGGGATCTGAGAGGGAAGGCCGCTCAAGAAGCTTGAAGGGTGCATGGACTGGGTGAGTGCAACTGGGAGGACAGGGATTCTCAGCAGAGAAAGTGGTGGGTAGGGAAGCTTAGGTTTTCTTTGGAGACAAAAGGGGTCCAGGTGGATGTTCTCTGGGAGAGGCAGCTAGGGGGAGGTAGAGACGGGGCCTTGCAGGGGACTAGGGTTCACTGCAATTCTGGCCAATTCAACCCTGTTGGGATTGGCGTCTCCTTGGGAGAATAAAAACACTCATTTAGGGCGTAGCCTTTGTCAGTTTGCTGCAGGTAACCACCTGTGCACAGTGCACAGGAGCCAGTAGACCCGCAGCAGAACTTGTTGAGTGAATTGATTAAAGCTGACATTTTTTTGCTAACATGGTTACATTCTCCCCCTGTCCCCCCAAATTTAGGGACCATTAACATGAGAGACACCTATTTCTACTGTAGAGAAGGTCGGGAATTGCTCAACGCTGAATGACACAAGGACTGTTCTTCCACCAGTCAGGTCGGCCAAGGCCCCTCTGCTCCCTTGAACTCTAGAATGTGCTGTGGCCCATCTGGACCAGCTCCCTGCAGAGACCTGGGCACCATCATGCCCTTGGAGTCTTCCGTCTCTTCTCAGTGTCCAGAGCACTGGGCTCCAGACCTGGCTTGTGGCCTTGTGGTCCCACAGAGGTGCCTTGGGAGCTTCTTGGGTGATGGAGGGCCTAATGGGAGCGCTTATGAGACCTCACCCTGGACATAAGTTTCAGATTAATTCACTAAGCAAGAATTTTTGGAAAAAGTTTTCTGTTGCTAAAGAATACTTTGAACAAGAGTCTGAAAGCTTGGCGTGGCATTCACGCCTATAGAATTGATCACGGATCTATATTAGAAGCATCATTTTTTAATGTCTGCCTGCCACCAACCCAACCCAGCAAGATTTTACTTATCTGCAAGTTCCTGTTTAAATATAACACTTAAACATTTTGGGGCTTCCCTGGTGGTGCTGTGGTTAAGAATCTCCTGCCAACGCAGGGGACACGGGTTCGACCCCTGGTCCAGGAAGATCCCTCATGCCGCAGAGGAACTAAGCCCATGTGCCACAACTACTGAGCCTGTGTGCCTAGAGCCTGTGTTCTGCAACGAAGAGTAGCCCTCACTCGACGTAACTAGAGAAAGCCCACGTGCAGCAACGAAGACCCAACTCAGCCAAAGATAAATAAATAAATAAATAAAACGTTCTCCATAAACTTTCCCTGGTCCTGCCATGAAGAAGCAATTTCTTCCTATTTTGAACCATCCAGACTTTTTGGTTCTTTTCTTGTGGCACTTGACACTTCTGCCCATTTGTTTTGCGTTTTTTCTTTCTTCCGAGTGGACCTGTCTCAGTACCTTCCACAGTGCCTTTGTGGTACTAACAACAATTGGAGGCTAGTGTTTATGATCTGACCTTTAAAATAAATTACCTAAAACAGTCTCCATTGCATCCCGAAAGGGAAAGAGGCAGCTTACAAAAGTGCACAGACCTGCGAGACTTTTTCTGCCTTTGGCAAGGGCAGAGCAGCTTACTTCAGGTCAATCTTCCTATGACATACAACAGAAAAGCCAGAAAAATATAGAAAACCTCTGTTTGAAGGCCTAGGGAGCTTAATTGAGGACTTAAGGAAAAGAGAAAGGAAATGCAGAGGGACAAGCCCACATTTGGGACCCGCTTCCCTGAAAGGCATTTGCCTCTCAGTGGAGAGCCTGAGAAGGTGAGCATAGCTTCAGGAAGTCTCACACGGCCCAGGGACCACCAGGAATGAGGGTCTCTGGTAAACATGAGACCCTCAGTGTTTCTGGCTTTCAGCTCGAAGCACTGAAGAGCTACACCCGGGTAAGCGCTGACTCTTGTGAAACCTGAAGTCCAGCACTGATTTTCTGAAGTCCTGATGAATGGAGGGAATTTGTTCCTACTGTAACTGGTTTCCAGAGTGAAAGTAATTCCTCTACGGAGGAAGGTACAGAATCAAGAATTTCAAAATTTCTCTACAATTTTCATTCACTAAGTCTAGTATTCAATTAAAAAAAGCATATAAACAAACAAACAAACAAACAGTAATTGCTCAGAAATCCAAAGGAAAAAAGACAGAGAGTAGATATGGCTCTCAAGAGATCCAAATACTGGAGGTGTGAGACGTGACATATACTTTAAACTGTGATTAGTATATTTGATAAATCAAATAACAAGATGGAGAATTTCAATGGGGAACAGGAAACTATAAAAGATGAATAGAAATTCTAGAACTGAAAGATTCAATAGCAAAAAATAAAGTATCTTTAGATGTATTTAATAGCAGATTATATGGAGATGAAAAGAAAATAGAGTATAGGTCTGAAAAAACCATCCAAAATGAATCTCAGTATGAGAAAATAAAAGATAAAAATTGCAGAAAATAGTGCAAGAGACATGTGCATGGTGAAAAGAGATAGTATATGTGTAATGAGAGATCCAAAAGGAAAGGAGGAAGAACAAAACAGAGTAAATATTTAAAAATGTAATGGCTGAGAATTTCACAAAATTAAAAGACATCAAACTACTTGAGAAGTACTAACGAGATTCAAACAGGATAAATACAAAGAAAAAAATTTAGTTATATTCCTAAAAACCGAAGACAATGAGAAAATCTTAAAACCACCCAAGAAAAAGGATATTTACCTGCAAAGAGCAAATAAAGGACTTATATAAGACTTCTCAACAGAAAAAACGGAAGCCAGGGCAATGGAAGTGTATCTCTGAAATGCTGAAAGAAAATAACTGTCAAGCTAGAATTCTCCGCGTAGCTAAAATATGCTTTAGGCTAAAGCTGAAAAGAGACAGCTTTAGGCAAACAAAACATTAGAAGATGAAATTTTAAAACCTAATAGCATTTACAATAACATCAAAATATATCAAATACCTAGGAATATATAAATATATATATATATATCTCGTAATTTTCTGAATTGTGTTCTGATTAGGCTTCTCAACTCCTACAAGAAATCCCACTCCAATTAACACGTTTTCCCTTTTTATTTGCTAAAGGCTTTGTTGATTTCCTGTGGAGGATATTAGTGAAGAGTCAAAATTCACTCTTCCTGAGTAGATATCCAGTTGTCACGGCACTTTTACTGAAAGAACACTCATGTTTGCCATTAATCAAACATCTCATATACATGTAGGTCTATTTGAAAATCTATCCTGTCCCCTTGGTCTTTTATCCTGTCCTTGCATAAACATCCCCCTGTCCTAATCACTGTAGCTTAATAATAAATCTTATCGGTAGTCTGTGTCTGCCAACTTTGTTCTTCTTTTCAAGGTTGTCAGCCATCTGTGGCCCTTGAATTTCCATATGATCAGGTCATATCCACAAAGATCATAACTGGAATTTCTCTTGGATTGCACAGAAACAACAGATCCTTTGGGAGAGACATGACATTTTTATTATATTGAGGCTTCTAATCCTTGAACATGGCTTAACTTTCCTTTTATTTATGTCTTTTTAATTTATTTTTTCTTTTAGACAGCACTTAGAACAGTACCTGGCATGTGGTAAGTGCTCTTAGTACTATCCTAGGTAAAGTCTGCCAACTTTGTCTGTGGACCTCAGCCCTCATTAGGGCGCAGGGCTGGAAGAAGCCCACATCGAGGCTAAACGTGTGGGGCGCGTGGGACTTTAATTTCCCACTGCGGGATCATCTGGTTGCGCCTCCTGCTGGCACAGTAGACCAGTGCAAACGGCTCACGCAGCAAAAACCATGGGAAGAGATCACGTCTCTGAAATGAGGGGAGGTTAGGGGGTCAGCAAGGGGTCATTGGCTTACAGCTCTGCACCTGATCCCTTGGGGGACTTCAGAGCAGCGGCCCCAGATCCCCGCTGGGCAATCCCAGGAGGAGTACCTGCCCCCAGCCTGGTCCTTGGAGCAGTTTGCTCAGCCTCTCTGAGGGTGTCCCACGTGCTCCCTGGTCTGCGTGTTGAAGTCACCACCCAGACTCTCATTTCACCCACGCACCCCACGCTGGGATGTACTGCGGCTCTCGGGAAACACCTCCCCTCGACGATTAGGTGGCTTCCGTCAACCTTACACCGTTGACCCTCAAAGCTGCAGGGACAGGGGAACTGGTGTATTTGGAGCCCACGTCTGCAGACAAGGGCGACGAGCCAGCTGGGGCGGGTGGGCACGTGAGACTCACCCGGTGGAGAGAAGGCAGAGCTCCCGCAGGGGAGGCAGCCTGCCTGGCCCGGCTGGGCGCTGAAGGAGCCTGCAGGGCAGGGCAGGCACTCTTCCACTGCCCCCGCCTGCCTGCTGCTCCTAAAGGCTCCCAACGGGCAGGGCCTGGGGCTGCGCGTCCCGGCAGGACAGTAGTGCCCCACTGGGCATGGCTGGCTGTGGTAACTCTCTGTCCCTGGAGGGAAATGGAGGGGAAATTCTGAGCTGTGGACTCCCCCTAAGGCGGGGACAGAACCTGCGCGAGAGAGTCCAGAGAGTCCAGGGGAAGAATGAGCTTGCTGGGGTGCGGGGGAGGGGAGGGGAGCCCGCAGAGCACTACAGGGAAGGACTCGGAGGCCCTGTACCCTGCTGTGTCTCCCGCACTCCCAGCGGTCCCCTCGCCTCCATCTCACCCTGCAGACACAGGGCGGTGTGTCTGGCCTCCCTCACACACTGGGCAGCCCTTGTCCTATTTTCGAGAGCATCCGGGCCACGGGCTCCAGCATGCTCGTTTGTATGGTGTCGTGCACAGTCTGTGATTGTAGGTCTTTTAAACCTAACATCCAGACAGACGGGGTGTCTACTTGCTCTGAGGTCTCCTTCATCTGTGCCCTCCCTGTGCGCTTGGGTCTCTCTGTCTCAGGCAGCCGGCCTGGCCGAGAAGAGCTACGGGCCTGTCCCGTGCACACTCCCAGGGGTCCTGCAGGCCTCTCTCCACCTGCCACCTCCGTCCACCTCACCAGTCTCAGCCCACTTCTGACCCGAGGACCAAGCCCTACCCCCCCAGTTCCCAAACTCACCCTGGTGGCAGCTGAATCCGGGGGGGCAGGGCTGGCAGGGCAGGGCGTCCAGGGCCCGGCTGCGGTAGGTGCCCGCTTCACAGAGGCGGCAGCAAGTCTCCTGGGAGACTCTGAGGCCACTTCCGTTCAGGGCCTCGGAGCCCCCAGGGCACGCGCGTGGATGGGTGCTGCCCGGGGGGCAGTAATAGGGAAACACGCAGCTGCACAGAGACAGAGCCCAGACCCCATGTTCATGCTGTTGCTTCTCATCTCAGCAGCAGAGCTCCGACATAGCCCAGGCTTGGGCCTTAAGCTGCCAGGGGGAGGGCAGACCCCGATATTACCCCAGATGGGGGGCTCTGGGGTTGCCTTGTGTCTGGTGGGGCCTGAGCAGGTCCGGTTGCCTTCCTGGAAGTGGCTGAGCCATGCCCAGGCGGCCAGGCCATTGGGCAGTGCCACGTCTGCCCCCCTGCCCACCTCGCCCTGGACAAGAGGACGTGTGGACCAGACATGATTGGCGGGGGCGCGGTGGGGTGCACAGCCAGGCCTGCTGGGGTGTCGGTCCTGGACACAGGAAAGGGGCTGCCAGGTGAAGTTCAACATGCCCAGGCGTATTTGAATTTCAGGTAAACAATGAGTAGAAGCACTCCCGAATATTGCTCGGGCCACACTTATATGAGCAACGTGTTTGTTGTTTACCTGAAATTCAAGTGTGACTGGGTTTCCTGC